TGCTCCAGTATTTAAACATCTGTTCATACAGATCATAATCTCACCCTCTAAAGAAAATCTGTTCTGGGCAAGACCACGTCGCTGCTGCAATGTGCAATTCCTTTGTTCCTGGGGCTTGCAGCAGCCTTGGACTCTCCATAATGGGATGTGTGCTGCGATCGGTGCTGAACGCACCACTGGTGGTAAATAATTACTTGGCCACTTAGCTGATTCCTCAGACTGCCTCCTGTGTGTTTACAGCCTCCCCAGATGTATTAGACCAGAGGATTTCACAGGATGACCACCTGAGCTTGCTTTCACTGCAAGTTTGGTCACCAGCTTCAGCAGAAAGGGGAGATGAACCCTACATGCTCCCCAGGGTTTCTGTCAGATACCAGTGTCTTCTAAACCTCCATATATAACTAAAGAGGCTGACAAGTAATGAAGGAGGGAAGATGGCAGTCAGGAATGCCCTTGAAATAAGCTATTCTAAGAATACTATGTTAAGATAAGCACATCATCCTCAACTCTGTGTGAACGAACTGGGGCTATTTAGCAGCTCCATAACTCATTCAGCTTTTTTTTCTTCAAGTAAAGCACCAAACTCATTCATTATAGTTGGCTTCAGGGCTCTTGGGAATCATCCTGAAAGCTCTCCATCTTCAGGATGGACAGCTAATCTGGACAAATAATTTCAAATAGTTTAAGAAACAGTTTGACCTCCAATGCAATATAACTAAAGGTTAAAGGGACATCTTGGTGTGTATCTTTAGAGAATATAAATGGAGCTGTTTATTCCTTGTCTCTGGAGCCTGTGCAAGGTTCAAATTCAGTTTAAAAGCTTATCACCAAAATTCATTTTATAGAGTACCTTAAACTCCCACTCAGTCCGATCAAAGCTTTTCCGACATAAAGTGAATGAGCTACAATGAGTTCCCTTGTTCAGTCAGCCAAGCCAATGTTCTTAATCAGTATAAAAACATCAGGAGTCAAATGGTGGTTTTTATTAAAATGTGTTTGATCAGCTTCCAAGGAGGTGACAGAGGTCTGTGGAAAGAAGCATTCCTGCCTGCTCCTAGAAAATGCATGTGAGCCCTGTAAAAGCACTGGGCTCTGAGAGGACCCTGTGGCTTGCTCATGACTGACCTCATTATCCTGGGAGCTGGGCGCACCCTCTCACCCTTCACTCTAATCCTCCTCCAGCCTGACCTCTTTTGAGTTGCCTACTCCTGAAAACTCATTTATCTCAGCTCCTTCCACTGGATAATAATCAAGCCCCTGGGCTTTGCCAGGGATCAAAGAATGATTGCTCCAGTTGTCTCAAAATCTATTACTTCTTTAGATGCTGTTGCTGCTTATTCAGACAAAGCGACATTATGCTGAAAGTCCACAGCAGCTGTGGATTAAGACAGGGCAATGTTTAGGAAGTGATGTGTGGGGCACAGCATCCATCTGACTTTCTGGGCACTCACTCATTTGCTCAAGAGAGAGTGGATGTACACCCAAGAGCACCACACAGACACGGCTGGCCCCAGGAGCTGCTTGTTGGCAGCACTCCTACGAGTCTTTTCCAAACACAGGCCCATAAGTGACAGCCTCTGCTCAGCTGTCATACCACATACACCCAGACATCCCCCATATCAGAACATCTGTCTAGAGGCCAAGGTCCTCTTTTGAACCTAGTGAACATAAAGTTGTTTCTTCTAGCAGTAGGGAAGGAGCTCCCTGAAGCCCCCAGCCCTACAAAGGACAGACAGGGAGAAATGCCACATCCTGGGCTGTCTGGTCCAGAGCACTGATCACCATGAGCACACTGGGAAATCAGTCATGTTGCCCAAGGCTTTGCTGTGACTCGGGACTTTCAAACAGCTGGATCTCTCCACATTACAAAATGGAAGAATCAGGACAATTACTGTCTTGCCATCAGGTCCCTGATGGGCTCACAACTTTCCTAATGTTTCTCTGCTACAAATGATCTTATTTCAAAAATCTCCATGCACTGATTACCAGAAACTATTTACTACCAAGATTGCTCAGACATGGACTGAAAGCTCAGACTCTGGCTGAAATATGGATAATCAAGATATATTCATGACAGCAAGACTGCTATGAAATAGAATTATTCTCTGGAATAGCTCTAGATTTCAAATATTTAGGCTCAGAAAATTAAGGCTAACTAAATTCTGACCCACGAAATCAAGCAACAGCAACAAGGCAGCAGGGCTATTTTAGATCCATGTGCTAGGAAAAAGAAAATTACCTAACTAATGGGGACGCTCTTCTGCATTCATGACATCCTCTCCTCCCTCCAAAAGCCTGTCAACAGAAGTTGGCAATAAGACAAATATAACTGAGATGTTTGAGAAGATAGCTCATCAGCAAGACCTATTCACACATTCAAGTCATCAACAAACATTTCAGCTGGGAAAACTAACCAAATTTGGTAGGTGAAGCCTTTTTTGCCCTTGGTACTATGCTTGAAACTAATAATTGGCAGTCATAAGCCCAGTTGGACACATAACTACCTCAAGAAGTTTAATCAGTGAAGACACAATCTCTGTTTAGGATTATTTGGACATATTTTTCTCTCCCCAAGGAGCCATTAGGAGGCAGGAAGTATTGTGTCCACACACTGATTGGTGCAGGAATCTGACTGATAGAAAGGAACTTCCAACCAGGAGGTGGGAGTGGAAAGGCATTTAGCAGAAAATGTTCATTTTCATTTATTTATATTTTGATAGCTTGTGAATATGCAGAGATTTGATAATTTTCAAGAACTTCAAATAAAGGACAGGACAAGTAGCTGATTCATCTCATGGTCTCTCATGGATATTCTTCTCTGTGGTGACCAGTGACAGGACTGGAGGGAATGGCCTGTGGAAGGTGAGTCGGGGAGGTTTAGGGTGCATATCAGGGAAAGGTTCTTCACCCAGAAGGTGGCTGGGCATTGGAACAGGCTCCCTGGGGAAGCGATCACAGCACCAGCTATGACAGAGTTCAGGAAGCATTCTGACAACACTCAGGCACATGGTGTGATTTTGGGGTGATCCTATGCAGGGCCAGGAATTAGATTTCAGTGATCCTCGTAGGTCCCTCCCTAATCAGGATATTCCATTTGATGGTCCTTGTGGGTCTCTTTCCCATTCAGGACAGTCTAAGTCAGGATATAGTTACCAACTCAGGGAAGTTGAAAAACTTGCACAAACCCTGAACAACTGAGCTCTATCCCCTTCACAAAATAAAAGCATGAAGAAGATAGCAGCTGAAGTTGTCCATGATTACACACTTTTGAAAATACAAGCAGTTCCAAGGGTTTCTAAACACAGACTTGTGATAAAAATTTTACATCCATTTGTTAAATTTTTTATCTGATGCCATAGGAACATCCTATGAGTAATTCCTGTCTTCAGGAACTACATGGATCTTATGTTTTTGTCCTGATTTAATGTGGTTTTTTTTGTTTTTTTGGTTTTTTTTTTATAAATGGAACACAGTCTAAGGTTGGTGTTTTGGGGTTTTTTTCCCCCAAAGCAGACTGGGTTGGATTTGAGGAGATGAACACAAATCTTAAGAAACTCCCCCCAGGCTTCTGGCTATCTCTTGATAGTCCATCCTCTCTCCAACCATGTCACACAATGTCTGTAGTGTACACTAATAAAATGTAAACACACTGTTTCAATACTGCAGTCAGTGCTTTCTCTGACACAAAGTACTCAATCTAAAGGAGGAGATAAGAAAATTACTAGATAAATAAATAGAAATTAAGCATTGTTTTCTCTCCTTTTTGTCTTGTTAGGTGCCTCCCAAGCTTATCATCCTCCTTGTGCATCCTCCTTTCTTATCACAACACAGTTATAAGTAATTCAGATTTTCTCTCTGCAATCCTGACTATTTACCCAAATTTCACAGCAATCTCACAGCCCTGATCAGGTGTGACCATCCACCCAAAGAGAGCCCAAAGCCATTTTTTTTTCTTCTCAATTATAACTGCCATGCTACTGAATCACAGAAAGATACAGGACATACAGGACAGCAGTTGAGTGTGGAGATTTCTAGGAATAAGACACCTTTCTTGTGCCTCTGAACTCTCTTTCTGAAATGCTTCTGATTGTGATTTGAAGAACCCATTTTTAATTGCATTCACCAAGCTAGATGCATGCTGGTTCTGGGTAATGAGATCTCTTCATTCAAATTTCTAAAAGTGTAAAACAAACTACATGTTCTTGCAGTTCTCTGTAATATAATCAGTTACATATCTGTGTGTGTAAAATATTGTCCACCTGCACTTTTTACCTGTAGTATGCAGTGGTGGAAGATGGTTATTCAGAGTAGTTGCTGCATTCTCATTGAAGAAGGCAGCTGACAACCTGGTTCAGTTCACATCAAGCATCCCAGTAAGACTTACAGATGATCATTGTTGACACACTGTTAACTCTTAGTCACGACATTTACTGTGCTCTGTGTGAGATAATGACAGGTTTGAACCTACACCTTTGCTAATAATATGGGGTTCATCACATATTTCAGAAGGAACAGGATGAGGAGGGTATCATTCTTTGTTCATTATTGTTTCAGCTAAGTGAGAGGAATCATGTAGGGCATTGACTGGAACAGTTCAGCGTAAAGCCTTCACCCTTCCCAACTAATGCTGGTGACTAGTTGTTGACATGATTAACTAGTGACCTAGATATTGTAGGATGACAAGAAATGTCCATGTTGCATGGCAAAATCTTTGTTTTACTACAGCATTTCTTGCATCTCCTCTGGCAGCCACTGTTCATTTTTGTCTGAAGCAGGATACCAGACTTAAAAAGCTTGGCCTTGCACAGCAACCTCCGTGTTCCCATAAACATGGAAAGTGCATTTCAGCTTCTCCATACCAGACTGGATGCAGTGTCTGTGAATACTCCCCAGACTGCTCCCCCCTTGCAGCCTCCACAAAACTAATTCCATGCTTCCCATACTTGCAGCACACTGCTACAGTCTGTCTCCTTCTCCATGATCCCAGGCTTCCAGCAGAGTTGACTGGGCAGTCTTCAACTGGCAAAGTGAGTGGTCTGGAAAAGCAGAGTGGTGGAAATGTGAAAAGACGTCAGGTGTAAGGGTTGTCTTGTCCACCATGGAACCAGCTGCAGGATGGCTGTTCATCCATGCTGTGTCATCTGCGAGGCTCAGTGTGGTGTCCCTCCCATCCTGCGTGAAGAATGAGCTCTCTAATGCATCAGAGCCAAATAAACTTTGTGTGCCTGTATTTAACATGAACAAAGAGTGACAGTGTCACTTTTGATGGCAGGCTGAAACACAGCTGTTTTCACTAAAGCCCAAATAACTATGTAAGGAGTGAGAGTCACAAGACTTCTGATGAAAAAAGGAAATGGAGGCATAGTCTGAGAATGTAAGGCTCAGATCCTAAGAACAGGATGGGGCTGTGTTTATGCAGGTAGGTAGGTAGTGAGAAATGTGATTCAGATGTTTTTATGAGGCAGATCCATATAACTACAAACTGGGTAAAGTTGCCAGATTTCTGTGCGGTTCCATTGTGGTTTTGGGAATTGTGACACCCCAGATGCTGTACTGGAGAGGAAGAAGTTGACTTCCCTCCTAGGGGAAGTCCAGCTTGTCATGCAACAGCACCCATATTTTCCCAACCAAAAGCTGCACCAGTCACTTTACCAGGAATGGGAGAGCCACACCCCATTTGCAGAAAATAGAGGGTATTGCAACAAACACCTCTTTAAAAAATGCACAGCTCATAATGGCTGCAGGCCGCAGCAGGCCAGTTTCTAGCCTTCAATTAGTGATCTTCCAAGTGACTCACCGGTGAGCATTGCATCAAAGACCTGCAATCTGCAAGGGCCATATCTAAGTATTCATTGACAGGACTGGTAGCACCACTTTTTTGAAGGTTGCCCAACTTCTCTTTATAAGGTCCCATTTTCTGTTTCCCTACATCTCTGCCAACCCTTTATCAGTTCCAGCTCACAAGTTTCAAGCTTAGTCCTGCTAACAGCTAATTTTCTGCTGGTTGGGTTTGATGATTTGGTTTGGTAGAGTTTGGGGCAGATATCTTATTTTGTGATTAATCACTTTAGCTGTTTCCAACAGATATTTGTCAAAAAATAAAGAAACAAAGAAAGGCAGAAACAAACAAAAACAACTGGAAAAAAAATGCTGTGGATTTCTTCCTATAGTTGCTCCTTGTGGCAGAGAACTGAAATTTGTCAGGCAGATGGTCCTCGGGTCATGACTCTGCCAGGAAAGGCCATGCTAGTGATATTTTAGGTAATCAGATTGCAAATGTCCTGAAGCTTGGTCTTTCCATACAGCTACTGACTGTGCCATACTGTGACAACACCATCAGGAACAGCATTTGACCATCTCTAGAAGGGAAAACTAAACTGAACAGGGCACAAGTATCAGGTGTGGGGAAGCAGGCTTGCAGGCAAGTACCATCAGTGTGTAGCTGCAATCATTGAGTTATCCACTCATTCCCTGAAAAGCTAAAAACTACTTGGACCAAATTAAGAGAAGGACCTGTGAGTGAGCCAGTTGTTGCTACCTGTTTCTGTGATCAGTTTTCTGTAAGTACAGAAAAATGAGCCTGCCAAATTGTACAAACTAATTTAGAAAAGGTCCTAAGTAATTTCTGGAGATTAATGCATTATGGATGCTCAGGGTAAATATGTGGCAAGGATAGGCATGTGGCTGTTGCTTGGGCTTGGGAGACTGTTTAACCAGAGAGCCACCATCAATCAATCAATCAATCAATCAATCAGCACTGACTAATTAAAGGGAAGAAGAATGACAGCAAAGATACTGTAATCTTGTTTTCTGAACAATAAAACTGAGCATGTGTAAACTCCAATCATTACTGAGCCATGGGCACTGCAGTATGAGGTATCTGGAGCAAGATCACCATGTGGTAGGAATAGCCAGGGGGAAGAGAAGCTGTACCTTGGAGCAGGAAGATACAGCAGTGAGACCAGGCAACTATGTGAAGGTAACAGTAATAAAAGCGTATGGATGCTAGAAGTTAGAGGCTAAAGCAAGGGAAAGGGAGTAAAGCAAGGGAGATATGCTTGGAGGGGGACCAGTCCAAGTGTACAGGGGGATCCTGCACACTTCTCACTCTCCTCCTTCAAGGACAGACACAGGGCTAGAGAAGCTTTTTCCTACTTCCCAGGCCTATCCCACTTGCTCCAAGGCATAATAGAGTGCCCTTGCCACTTCCAGACTGCAGTGGGAAAAAGCATGGGTCCCTGTTGGGGTACAGGCTGGCTCCCACAGCGGCACAAGGGTGCAATGGGATGCAGCCTGGACAGGTGCTTGCAGCACCAGAGGGCACCAGACAGCAAGGAGCAGGTGTTAACTGGGTCCCTGGGACTGCCCAGTTGCAGGGGTAGGAACAGTGGGCTGAGTTGGAAAAGTAGACAGCTGGGGCCATACATTATGAGTGCATGATGTCAGAGTGGCAACCTCAAAAAGCTTATCTACTTTTTTCATTCGCTCTCTGTAACTGACTTGGAGTAAATCTCAAAATACATGGCTTCTGGGATTTCTCTCTTTGCTCTGTCAAATCAGAAAATAAGACTACAATATAAATTCAACCCACCCCCTCTACTAACCCTACCTCACTGAACTGGACATGTCCATACCATTCATACCCCAAACATGGCTTTGCAAAACACTTTAGAGAAGAGGGAACCACCAGAGTTTTTTAACTTTGCAAGAGTGGTGAAACTTGTGCTGTTGGTCCGTAAGGTCAGCACTCATTTACACCCCTAGAAGCAATGAGAGAGAGGTAAACCTTTCAGCTATTGCACCACCAGTTGTAGCCTCCTCAGCCTAATGCCAAAGACACCACCTCTACTCCCCTGGCATCTGTCACTGAAGTCATTGGTCTCAGATGATTTCCTGCCCTCTGTTAACAACCCTGGTGGCAAGAAGGCCCAGAGGCACTCCCTGTGACACAAATCTCTGCACTAATATGATCATTTGAACCCTGGAAAAATCAGGCATCCTTTTTTCCTCTGTGTCCTTGTGCTCTGAAATTAGATTTCCTTAGATGTAGGGTAATTAATATGAGTCCTCTCCTCAAAAAAAAAATCACATCAGGCTACACACTTGACTCTTCAGCTGCAAGCTGAGAGAAGTATTACAGTCTTCCTACACAGCTGGCTCCAAACCCAGTCTCAGGACTCTAATGGACTGTTGAAGAGAAGCAGCTGTGGCCAAAGCAGACTCCCAGCCTGGAAATACTTGAAGGAAGAGAAAATACCCTACCTGGCATGATGATTTATAGTAAGACTTTCAATTGTTCCCCAGCTACATAGATATCTTCCTCTTTCTACCCTACAAATTAGATCCTTTAAATCCCCCATGTAAGTTCTTTCCCAGTAAACATTTTAGTCAGGCTAAATGGGGTTTTGTCCTTGGGTTTTGTCACAGTAACTGCTCAGAGCAATAGTGGCCTCCTTTGCAAAGGTCATTGCAGGGTCTTCCAGCTAAATGAGCTGCTTTAGGTCTGACAGCCCCTCATGTAAACTCACTTTCCTAGTGCTCAGCTTGAGTTTCACAGCAAGCTGGGCCACCAAGAGTGAAAGCATGTTATCTCCCAATCACACCAGAAATTAGAAACACCTTGTTCTGGAAAGAAAACTAAGAAAAATATGAGGATGCATATGAAAAGAAAAAAGTATTCAGAAAACCTTGATGTGTCATCCTAATCGTCTTCCTATTCATGAATGTACTTGAAACCTCTTACAAGGTTATGATAAGGAGTTGTTCACCAGTGCTACAAGAAGACAAAGCGTTCTGTTTTTTTCCAAGCAGCAAGTTACAACATGAAAGCGAACGTGGTGTGCAGAACACTTTTCACCTCCACGTTCCCATCCAGAACTGTATTTTCCCTTGATAAATGATGAACTACGTCCTACAGCTGTGCTACATATTTCAGACTAACAAGGGCAGAAGTAAGGTCACACCAATTCTAGAGCACTGTCTATTGAGACAAAGGGACTCAGGCTTGTGTCATGTGCTCTGTGTTTCATGCAGCATAGATTTAGACTATTTCCCTAATCCCTTGTTTTCCTGAGGACATGGCAACAGTTTATATACACTGAAGTTAGAGACATGGCCAGCTTATGCATTTTTCCCTTCCTCTACCAAACATTGTTTTGTTCCTTTAAACCCAGCTTAACCTTACTTTGCTTCCTGTTTCTTCAGGGCACATACACCAACAAGAGAAGTGAAAGCAGCTATTTCTGTTTCTTTCCACTGCTCTGAGCAGTTCCTGAAGGCTTGAAAGTGAATAGGAGCCAGGGACACCTCCAAGAAGATGAGTGAATCTCTAGTTCCAGTTCAAAACAAAAGGGATCCTTGAACTAACCTCTGGTGCAAAATTTGTTGTCCTCATCTAGTAACAGGAGTTTGATCTGCTGCCAGCAACATATGGCAAGAGCTGAACACTTAACTTGGGAAACATGTCACTGATCACCTGCGGTCTAAAACATTCAGATGGTCATCTAGCCCTCCTCAGCACACAGTGCAGACAGACAGACAAAGAGAGTACATCACATCCCTTTTTTTCCTACTTTGGCCTGGTACAGGTTGTTCCTGGAAGGTGTCTCTGTCTCCATAGGGTGTGAAGACTGGTATGAGCTAGATGCTGAGCTATCAGGCTGAGGTTAGGTGAGAGACACTGAAATCATCTTAACAGCTGTGTTTATCTGGGTCTTTTGTCCATCAGGGCATTTATATCTGGGATCTCCTGATGCTGTCAATTCCAAGGCATTCAGAGGACTGATAGTGGTGTCTCCAGTGGTCTCATGTCTCTGTTGCTTTCTGGCTGTTTTTGTTTTCAGGAAGTTACTTCCTTTCAACCATGAACATGATTCTAGAATTACAAAGATGATGGAAGGGAGAAAAGGGAGGTTACCTCTCCCCCACTCTTAATGGCATCTGAAAAATGTCCAAAAGCTGCTTTTAAATGAGTAGCTCTGTGAGCAATGTAACTGGTGACTCCTGATTTCCTATGGATTCCTGTTTACAGTTAAAT